TGTGGCTCGTTAAAGTTTAAATTCTACTATGCTTTTGCGGTTTTTTGTTCCAATTTATGAATTCACGTTGTGAGATAAAGACGTTTATTAGTGATGTTGTGGTGTGCTACAGTCAAATTAAGTTTTCATTCGGAACGATATAACCGTACATTTCATAGGCTCTGCGATTGCTACATCGATAGACCAATTGTTCCATTTCGCGTAGAGGCTTGATGTCTAATTCTTCTCTTGATTCACCTTTGCTCTTACTCATGAGTTCTTTTTATAAAGTAACCTGTTCCCATATTTCCCTAGCGTAAACTGCACATTTTGAAGGAAAACATGGAAATCAGTCTGTCTTTTGTGGCGAGAGCAAACGATGACGTGTATGGTCTAATATGCCATTTCGTTTCTAATTCATCTTAAATACGTAATGCGTCAGATGAAATTCGAAAAATTTTCGTTGTTTGTGGTATAGTAATACATGGGCGAAACTTTGCTCGGCGACATCTAGGTGACAATTTTAGTTGGTACCTTTTTTAACAGAAAAACGCATATAAGTCCAGTTGTACTTTAAACGGTAATTCAATAGAAGTGGTAGTGTTTGAAACTGTTAATGGAAAATTGAGAATCCCATGGCCTGTGTAACTTCGCCGCCTACCTGCACAATATAGAGAATTCTCAAAAATAGTCGAGAAATGTGACTAAAAGCAGACGCTGATTCAATTAGCGTAGGGATGGTTATTGTTACATTAACATTGTTATTAAAATTTGTTTGGGATACCTGGTCGATAACAGTACTGATTATAAAATTTACTGGTATGAAGTGATAAACAAATCTTTTTGATATACAGTTCGCATCTGTGAAAGGTCTAGTATTAGATATTTAAGGCCAGTTTTCACTGCAGGAAATTATTCTGTGCGGTGTCGACTTAGAGTAAATTGCAATGTTTTGTAGCAGCGCTTTAGCCTGAGGAAAATTTCCTGTTGCACAGTAATTGATGTAAAATCTGTCACAGCTACTGTAGGTATTGCCGAAACCCTGGATTTCGGGTTTTATGTTACTGCTTCAAAGTTTGCTTTGACTCTTTCGATTAGTACTCCGAGTTAGTCCATGTGACCAATTCATTCATTCTGATTTCATGATTTTGACGATAACGCTTATTAGCATCACAGAATTCGCGTCGTATCTTTGAGTTTGTACTCCGGTATAAATTTGGTATTTTAGTCAGTGCTTAGAATTTGCATAATGCCCATCTTAACCGTGAACACCAATGTTCCAGCCGCCAAGGTCACGGATGAATTCATGAAGGCTTCGAGCCAGCTTGTTGCAAAACTGCTGCACAAGCCGGAGAGCGTAAGTCTGTTTTGATCAACTTTCATTGTTAATGCAGTAATTTACTATCTGAAAACGAACAGTGACTTTTTAATTCACTATGTTTATGTAATGGTGCAGTTGTTAAAAGGAATTGCATCGATAAGAGTTGCTTCCTCTAAAAACGCAAATTTCCTTTAGCCATAGCCATGCAAATCCTTAGCCACAGGATGCAATGCTGTTAGGATCTGTTTTGTTTCGTCTATCGATTAAGCCAGAGACAAGGAAAAGCCGCGTACTATATTAGGTACTGAAAATGACTCACTATGCATATGTTGCATATGTCTGTATATAAATTTTCCCTTGTATACTGTTCGAGTAACATTCTGTATGTTAAAACAGTGAAAGTGAAATTTACGGTGTTTCATACGGCCTTACATACTAAAGCTAAACATTTGGAAGAATGTTTTCACGTCTATACCTGAAAGTTTTGTTCAAGACTGAAGTCAGCTGACCTATTTCAAGATACAAGTACCGCAGGAAGAAGAGAAAAATGCGGTTGGGTTCTGTTGCGTTCTTCCAAAATAGAGTGAAATCAACGTGCGAAACCCTAATACCGTAAGAAAAAGAACAGATAGACCACCTAACAGGCTGGAATAATAATAGCTCGAGGGACAAGGAGGCATCAAGGACGAGATGTGAGTCAAATGAAAGATTCTCTTTATCACAAAGGCATATGGCGAAGCATTTCTGCAGTGGTTCTTCATTGTATTACAGAAAAATACAAATCAAATTGCAGCATGTTATCAAAATTTCTGCTGAAAAAACGTCAGAACCAGAACGATCAAAAAAGCTGTCATCGTGCTCAACAAATGGTGAAGTACGGCCATTGACAAAAACTGATGACCATTTGGAAGTCAGCTATTAATTGCAGGCTGTTAATGATGTCCGCTTGTTTCTCTGCACTCCCCA